GTGTGTGTGTGTGTGTGTGTGTGTGTGTGCACGTGCACATGCCATTGAGTCAGTCTTGACTCCTAGTGACTACCTGGAATAGTCCCTGCAGTTTTCTTGGCAAGATTTCAGAAGTGGTTTGCCATTGCCTCCTTTCAAGGACTGAGAGAGGGTGACTGGCCCAAGGTCACCCAGCTTTGTGCCTAAGACTAGAACTCACTGTCTCCCAGCTTCTAGCCTGATGCCTTAATCTCTGTACAGCAAAGTGGCTCTCTTAAAGTGTACCAACTCTACTTCTTCAGTACTTACAGCATCTGAATGCCCAAGATTTGCTCTTAACCTTTTTGGAGAGCTATAAAATCCATATACACATGTAGATGGACTGAGTATCAGGGAGGTTCTTGGAATGTCAACTGTGATACACATATTTTTGGAGTTACACTACAGTAAATGGAAGGAAACTATATTGTCAGTTTTCAGGAATAATGGTCAGAAGGGTTTTAAGGGTTTTGGAAGATTTCAACCAAATTATTCCTTTTTGGAGGAGCTTCAATTCTTGGTCAAGATAAATAATAAGCCTGTGTGCAGTAATACTTCTTTACCCTTATGATTTTATCTATGTACCTACACTGTCCATCAAATACATTGCCTGAAGTGTTCTTTTGTTTTAGTTCATTAACCTTTAAATAAATTCACCATTAAATAATATATTTATCTTTTAAAACATCAACTATATGCAAATAAATTATAGATTAAATTAAAATTACATACAGCTATTTAATAATTTTCCCTTCCCTTGCGTTAAACATATATTTGGAACAATTTTTGAAAGATTTTGGGTCAGAGAGGTCAGAATCTGCATCCCTTCCAGCACTGTAACTATTTCTAGGCAAAGACCTAGCAATCTAGCAATCTCCTGTCTCTAGGTTTTTAAACTTAAAATAAACATATAGTAAAAACATAAAAACATACAATAAAAATACAGCTCTGTTCAGTTCAAGCATGCCTGTCAAGATGTCCTTGATGAAATATGCAAGAACTATTGCCTAGGCAAAAGGTGCTGAAACATTTTTAAACCTTTCTAACATTTTAGCGAAATGAGATAACATTCGGAAGTGGTTCAGGCAGATACCTCCCTAATTCACTGAAGTATAAGAAGGAGCCGGAAATACAGCACAAACAGACTTGCAAGATTGATGTCAGCCTTGCTAGGTAGACGACACCATGAAATCAATTCCACAGGAAAACTAAAACTGATTTTACTGAGATTGGCTATGACAACAGAATCTTGCATATTTCTACCAAGGTCATCTCCCTTACTTTGTATAATACCTTTCTAAAACCCTCTTACTAAATCCAGTCAAAGCAACAATAATTGTGTCCAGTTTCTCGTGCAATGTTGTCCATTGCCAATGTAAATTAATGCCAAGATGACCTTTTTACTAGTTCTCAGGCTACGGATACATGAGGAATGGAAGGAAAAGGTGTGTTAGCTCATGAAGAAAACAGGATAGATGACAACAGCAGAGGAAACTGATAAATGGAGATAGCAAGGGATCAGTTCCTATCATTAGTGTTTGCATTTGCACAAATCTAGTGTTGTAACATCAAATTGTCTACAATCCTGGTGGTTAAAATATATGTCTTATCTATTTGAGAGTTGTTGTTTTTTTTAAGCTTTCTTGCACCCTATAAACAAAAGCCTCTGTGCAAGGTTTTGTTTTGAGGTTTTGTTTTGCTTTATCTTTACTTGGATAGATTACTTGGGTTTTTTTTTTAAGAAATACAAACTCATAACCAGGTTTTCCTAAAGAAATGCAAATTGTAACCTTTAGAAAGCATTAATAAGATGGAGAAGTTGATGTTCTTCCATGGGTGTGACTCAGCCTGGCAAGGGAGGACAACCAGCTTGCGCCAATCCTGGCTGTTGTCCGTGGCTTGACTGCACTCACACCACCGGCTGCAATCTCTCCTTGCACCCCCTCCTCACTTGGGTAGCCCTTTCTGTCTCTCCTCATGTGGGATGATGAGCAGAACTGGAAAGGCGATGCCAATCCCACCAAAATTCACTGAGCAGTACCACCACTTTATTTTAAATTTCCTTCCTAAGGATGTCAGGATGGGAATGGCCTTTTCAAGGTTAAACCTTGAATTCTAGAAGTATGGGAATATTGTTGCTGCTGGAACTCTTAAATCCAGATCCAGAAAAGTCACCAGGAATCTCACAGTTCTGTTTCCTATCAACCCATCAGCAGCTCTATTTCATATCAGTTAAACTTCCCAGGCTAATGTCAAAGAAGGCAAAGAAGTGCAACATTGGACTCTCCAGAGCTAGATCTTTAGACTACAGCTCCCACCAATTCCATTCCACATGCATTATTCTATGTATTCTTTTTTTCCTTTCTCTTGTCCCCTTTTTTCCTCTTCAGAAAGTGCCTATGAATGGCCACTCACTAGTTTGGGACCATTTACAGTTCTTGTTCCAACAAATAAAGGATTCGACGGAATTAATGTAAGTAAGTGGAGTGTTCTAAAATGGTATGGTACTTCACCTACTTGTTTAATTCTTCAACAGAGATGTGATCTAGATATACACAAACAACCCTTAATGCATGCTTTACACATGTATGCCAGGCAAAAAACATTTCTTTCTGTTGGACTTTGTTGTAAAATGCTAGGCTGCTCATGCTTACTAAATGAGTAGGAAGAAAGCTTACTGACTTTGTCTGAGCACACCACTTCTCTGCTATTCATTAAAATAAACCTTTTCTCAGGTTTCCATGCAATCCTGAAAAAAAACGTGGTTGTTATAAAAGTTGAGTGGCTTGACTCCTTTAAATGGTCTGCGAGTCGATTTCTTGAAGCAGCTGCCTCTTTCTTTCAGAGTCAGACAGAAATTTGAAAAAAAGATAGGCTGTTTTAATGCACAGTAGAGAGCTGCTATGTTTACATGAGATCTGAAGCACTTCATCCTCATGATGTTGGAAGCATGCCCAAAATATGATTTCCAGCTAGAAATATATATATATGTTTTTTCTGCAAGTATAATACGCATTGTCACAATACCTATTTCTAAGTGTCAGTTAGAGTACGTCATTGCTAACCTTGCACCATATATTCCTTCCTGACCCATATGAAATCTGGTATTTGTTTCATTTTTATGACTTTAGAACTGAGCACTACTTACTCTACCATTCATGCTGAAGCGTACATGCATCCATTTCCATTTTGGACTAGAATTTTGACAATCATCCTGAAATATTTAGTTTTCTCTCTTTGCTAGTGATCATTATGGAACATGTATGGAACATGTAATCTTTTTAATCTGCTTTACTGGTTTTTTCCTTGAAGTGTCTCATAGAAGAAGTGCTGAAATTGCATTTTGTCCCCCTTTTCCTGCTTGAAACTGCAAGTTCATTAAAGGCAGTCTCTTTTATCATTCAGCTTTTTTATGGTTATTTCTTCTCTACATTACTGAGTATTCCCTGTGGTTAAAAGAAATGCTTCAAACAGTAATCTTTTTGATTCATTGGTTAACCTTCCAGATTAAAGAACTTCTTTCTGATAAAGAGAGTGCACAATATTTCGTGAAGCTTCATATATTTGCTGGACAACTCAGCTTGAATGAGCAGAATGATACAAGAACAGTTTATACTTTGGCGGGCAAGCCAGCAGATATATTCAACGATGAAATGGTTAGGTATAATTTTAAAACTACGTTTCACAGAATTCTAAATGCTTTGGAGAGTATTCTACTAGCTGAATTATGACTGTTGTTTTTAAAATTAATGTTTTTATTGCACTTTCATGGTGATTGTTTTAGAAACAGGCTGTTCATCTAATATATAGGCATAGATGTGCATAAATAGATACATATAGACATGTAGACCTAATATATAGATGTGCATGAACTGTATTTAGATATATTATCATTGAGATCCACAGATCAGACTGAAGCAAATATTACTACAGCTACAATACATTCATGATTGACCTACAGCAGCTTGGTATATCTCTGACTGCTGAGGGTAGGCAATGCCATCATTGCATGCGGTGAGCCAAAATTTTTCCTATCTCTATCTACACGAGCTTATGACATGTTCAGAGAAGAACTCTCACCGTTTCTCTCCCACTGCAATCCCAAACCAGGTAGCCCTTTTCTCCATTCCAGTTTGCTTCCCCCAGAGAGGAGTAGCGATCTGGATCTTTGCTGCCTCCTTGTCAGAGTCCTGATCAATTGACTCCCCATCCTCACCCCCTGTGAGCAGCATTGCAATCCAAGGCAAGGTCAAGCAAAATGTTGAGCTTAAAACCACTTTCTATTAAAAGGCTCTTTTAATGGTTTCTCCAGGTATTACAAGCAGTATATAATTGCAAACGTTACATCTGTTGTGCTTTATTTCAGGTAGAATAGAATGAAAATGCTGAATAGAACAAAATGCCGAATATCATACATTTTATATAAGTGTTTATAATGTTAATATATGCAGGATTACATGGTTAATAAATAATATATTTAAGATAGATTATTATTCTATATTTGTCTTCTGGGCCACTTTAGGAAAATTTACTAAGAATTAGAATTCAGGGAGGTAAGAAGAAGGGGAAAATCCTACAAGGGGATATTGTTGCTTCAAATGGAATCATTCATATTATCGACACAGCCCTGGACAATATGGAACCCACGTTTAAAGGTGATAAAGAGGTAAGGTCAAAAATAAAATGCAAGGGATTTCAAATTACAGTTCTGAATGGGATTAAATATATATATTGTGTGTGTATATATATATACATATAGTGTGTGTGTGTGTGTGTGTGTGTGTGCATAATATAAATATATAAGAAAACAAGAGAGTGCTTACAGTTTAAGGAAGAAGAATGATGTACATTTTTAATGCATCATTTTATTTATACATAAAACAACACTGTACAACTCTCTTCTCCATTCTGAAATTCTCCAAATGTGATGGACTTGAACTCCCAGAATTCTAAGTTTAATGTTGGTACTAAATGCTTCAGTGAGGAACATTTCTCATTCTTACCCAAAGAATCCAACAGCTGAATGTTGGAGCTTATGCATGCAAAGCAGGTTCCCTTCCACCAAGCCATCATGATCCATCTTTACTTCTAAACTTTAGTGTCAAGTAGCTTATACAGTCCTTGGTGCTCTCTGAGCTTGGTTGTTTGGTTGGTTGGTTGGTTGCAGATGTTTCATTACCCAACTAGGTAACATCATCAGTGCTAGTGAGTGTGGGGTTTATTCCCTGTTTATATACAGTAGCTTGCCCTGCCAGTATTGGTGGGGGTGTGGTTTTCTCCTTGCTAGTTCCTTGATTAGGGGAATTGTTTTCTGCTTGATTGTTTGTCTGGGGTTAATCCCTGCTTATCTGGGTGTTGACTATTGGAGAGGATGTGTTCTGGCCTTTTGTTTTGTTTGCTTTGTTTCCTTCTTAGCTTTTTGTTCCTGGAGGCTCGGCATTCAGACAAATCAGTCATCAGCAGATATATAGAAATAAACCAATTCTAAAGAGACAATAAAAAAGCTAAGAAGGAAACAAAAAGACCAGAACATTTTCACCTAATCAATATTCAAATCTGGCTTTATTTTCTTAGAGATCTGTAATGGCAGTGCTTCAAGACAAACCAAGATACTCCAGATTTAGATCCATGGTAGAGGTAAGGTACAGCCAGAACAAATAAACAAACAAGATAGATAATCTTTTTAAAGGATGTGTTGACACTATTGTGCATTTCCCCCTCCCCCTTCTTTTAAAACAGAACACTGTCCTGGGAACAATGTTGGATAAACATCCTGGCCCTAATACAGTTTTCATTCCAACCAATGATGCTTTGGAAAACTTGAAAGAGGGCACTCTGGACTACTTGTTGTCAAGTGAGGTATGTCTTTAAAGGAGTATTATTTAAATTTTGTGGTCTTGTTGAACAGCACTTTTTAAAGCCATTTTGTACTATAGAACTTAAATCAGTTTGTGTGACAGAATAGGAAGGAGAAGGTTCTGTCAAGAAATTTTTAAAATGGTGTAATTATTTTAGAGGTTAAACTTTTAAGTATGTGAAATTTCTCATGTTTGGTTTTCTGGAGAGGATCCAAAGTGGATCAAGTGTTGGATTATCTGGGCAGTCAGGTCAAGAGACTCTCAAGGGTGTGGGGGGGGGGGCTCCCTCATTGTACATGTCCCAAGAAAGCAGCAGTTGTTGCTTTTCCAACTGCACATAGCCCTTCAAAAGGAAACCAACTGATGAGACATGCAGGAAGCAGAAAGGAGCAGGAGAAAAAAGTAAGGTTGATGGCAGTGAATTACAGCACCTTCCAGATGATGCTGATGGCTGATGCAAGCTCATAAGAGCTATTAAATGATTACAATAAGTGTGTTTCCTAACAGTCCACTTAAGTGAAGCTTCTCTGTGCAAGTTTACATTTTGATGAGGAAGATTTTTTTTTAAAATTTGTGCAGGGTTCACGAAAGCTTCGCGAACTGGTTCAAAATCACATTGTTTCTCACACACAGGTAAGTGTGAAAATATCTCCTGTACTCAATTCATTATATCCTTAGTTATTGCAAAATGAATATATATGCATGCTTTCCAATGAATGAAAGTCTCCAAAAATCATGGAATTTTAACATTTAATTTGTTGGAAGGCCAGCGTACTATGTTACAAGAAGCATAGGTTTAGAGTCAGAGTTAATAAATTATTATTATTATTAGCATTAGCATTAGCATTAGCATTCCTAAGTCCTGGAACAAATCTAAAAGGTCCAAGAACAGAAGTAAACTCTCATATCTTGTGCACAATTCCAATTTTCTCTTCTCTCTCAGAAAATTTACCATTTTACCACAAATACAATTTACCATTTTAAAAAGCCCCTCATACATTGCATCTCTACTAATCTTTGACCCAAGTTAGGCTTTCATTGATGGGACAGAGGTGGAAGATCTTCACCAATTCTCCTTTTCCCTCCTCTCTCCAATATAATGATGACTGATTGCTTGATCATAGCTGAATAAAGTGGTTGCAGTTGTTATGATGTCATAGTTTTCTGAAGTATAAACCATACCCAAAACAAGTGGTCATTGATTCTGAAATTTAATTGTGGATATGTCCAACAGTTTTACTAAACTTTGCAATGAACTTTCCCACTGCTAAAATCTGTGATGCTTCCACAATAAGCAGTGTTAATGTTCAACTATCACAAAAGGGGGAGTCTCCAATAATGATCTGGAGCTGGAAAAAAATAGGTGCATTATTTAGCTCCCAGCATTTCCATGGATTCTTTTTAAAGATATTACCCACTATCTTCCACACCAAAGCAGTGACTCCTATTATAATCTTTCTTTAGTGTAGTAAGTACATTTAATTTCTCCTTTGTTTCTTACAGTTGGAGGTTGCCAGCCTAATCTCTATAGTGCACATCAAAACTATGGCTCAACAGTTCATCTATTTCAACGTCACTGAAAATGTAAATCCAGGCAAATCCAATTCTTACTTAATAATTTTGTTCTGCTATTTAATTCAGTCAAAATATTTTAGACTGCAAAGTCCTTGCCTGTGAAGATTTAAAATTAAGAATAATAGACAAGGGTATAAAATAGTGGGAACATTCTGAAATACAGTCTAGTAATTTCAAAAGATAATCTCAATTTATGGTAATAATTTATGCAGGGACAAGTCCTGGTCAATGGCAAGAAAATAGAAGAAGCTGACATTGCTGCAAAAAATGGCAGAATTTACACTGTTTCTGGTGTACTTATACCTCCCTCTATAATTCCAATTGTGCCACAAAGATGCAATAACGAGAAATTTGAACTTAAGTTGGTAAGGTTCTTCTGTCCTGTAAAGTTCAAAACAGTCAATATTCTTTTCTATCTTTGACTTCCTTCTGCTAATTAATTAAATAATGCTTATTCTGCTTGTTTACTTATTTCAAATGTTTCTGAACTGTCCATCATACCGTGCATCTCTAAGGAGTGTAAAACATCAAATATATTTTCTAAAATTTAAAATGAAATCAAGAGAGAGAGAGAGAGAGGTAGATAGAGATTGATATATTTTGTATATATATGCATGTATACGCATACACAAGCATACAAACATATAGACCAGTGATTATGAGGAGCAGAGGAACAGTAATGTCATAAATGTCAAGATGAATAGAAATATGTTCAGCATGTATCTAAACTGAAGTAGAATTGATGCATATGCAGAGTTCCTCTGTCAGGGTTTCCAGCCCATGCCACCAGAGGAAAACTAATTTACCTGCCAAGGTCATGTCTCTTTGCAAACATAGGATTGTTAAAGGCACATGAAAATCTCAATTGTTTAGGCATTGCTTGGCAATCACATGCAGAGTATGGTTTAAAAAAAATCAAGATGGTAGCCATGAAAGTTCATTTGAAGTTCTACCCATGTTTAAATCCATCGCAGGAAAAACTAGTGGAGGTTTCATCACACTGTCATGGCCACCATCTTGACTTTATTGATCTTACTCAGTGGACTCCCTTCATCACACCTGTCAGTCCAACTATCCTAAAATGAATTATCTTGTTTCAGGGAACTTGTGGAAAATGTCGTACAGTCCATAGAAACAGTTGTCCAGAAAATTCACTACCTGTTGTAAGTAAATGCATCATCCATTCAATTAACAATCGGTTAAGAAATAAGATCTTGCCTTTTTCATGCATTCCAATAAAATTTATTATACCTTATATCATAACAGAAGTAATAAATCCAGTCAACAGTTTATAAATATGATTTATTCTCCAGTGAAGCTAGCAATGCTCCACTGCGTGCCTTACAATATAACATTGATTACCCTTCATGGTTAAGATTATTTATATCTTTGCTTTTTTTTAATACTCCAGGCTTTGTTAAACAGAAAATGCATCTACCAAGATCGTTACCTGCTGAAATATGGGTGTGCTCAGTACTGTAATGTGGCAAAAAAGGTGAGGGATGAAAATAACCACAAGGTGCAAAAGACTTTATCCGTCTCTCTCTCACGGTCTCTGTGCAAGTGGTAACCCAATTGACTGAATCCCTTAAGGTGAACAAGGCTCCAGGTGTTGACTGTGTTTTGCCTGAAATAAGTTTTAAAAATCCCAACCGGTGGGCACCTCTGCTGGCATCCCTGTTTACATTCATAGATCAGACTGGTTATATTCCAAAAGATTCAGGTCTGGTAATAATAGTTCCCCGTTTATTAAAAGGGCAATAAGAATGATCCATGCAATTACAGGCCTATCAGCCTTTTGAGGGTCATTAGAAAATTATATGCTAAATGTTTAAATCACAAGCTCCAAGACTGGATAGAGACAGAGGGTATAATCCAAGATGAGCTCACAGGATTCAGAGAAGGGTGGTCAACATTTTGGTCCTCCACCATCTTACACAAAAATACACTCATAAAAAGAAATCCTCCCTCTTTGTGGCCTTTCTAGATTTTAAACATGACTCATTTGACTCAATTTCCAGGAATATCCTTTGAGAAAAAAATTAAAAACATGATTATTGACAGGCACCTCCTTTTTCTGATAAAGAAATTATGCTCCAACACCACCTTAAGAGGGAGATGCAATCCCCAAGGGTCCCTCTCTGGCACAGTAAGTGTTCAGAAAGAAGTGCAACGGGGAAGTATTCTTGCCCCCTTTCTTTTCAGCTTGTATGTCAATTCAGTGGTGGAGCTTCTTCATAATCCGGATTTCCATCCCCCTAAACTAGCAGGGCACAAAATCCCTATACTCCTCTATGCTGAGGATGCCACCATAATTTCACAAACCCCTAGCAATAATATTTTGGTACTGCAGACAAAACCAGCTGGTTCTTAATTTTGATACATCTTAAATTCTGGTCTTAGAGCCACACAACAATCCTGGAGAGCCAAAAGGCACAAATTAGAGCAGGTTACTGCATTTAAATACCTTGGGGTGGTTTTCCACTCTAAAGGCGCCTGGAACGTGCACCAGAATCACGTAGTGCAGCTAGCTCTTAGGCCTACAAGTGCTATTAAGCGCTTGTTTTATACAAGCAGAGGACAATTCATCCCTGTGGCATTAACACTTTTTGAGGCCAAACCACTGGCCCAAATCCTTTGCAGGGCACAAGTGGGAATTTACGCAAAGAAGGATGCACTGGAAACAGTGCAAACAACATTTCTGAGATTAATCCTCACTGCACCCAGTGGAACAGCAAATGCCCAGTTACGGCTTGAGACAGGAATGCCTGCAATCCAAGTAAGGGCTTGGAAGAGGAGGATAAACCTCTGGCTGAAAATCCAATTCTTTGCAGTCGGACTGACCCCTTTAGTTTTAATAGACAATTTTCCTTCTCTCTGGAAACAGGCCGTAAAGCAGAAGTTGGCATTATATGGGCTTTCTGTACCCATCATAATTTCTTTAGGGTATGACCAAGCCAAACAACTGCTCTCTCAAACAATAAGGAGTTTCAGGCTGAAGTTAATAGGCTGCCCCAACATGGCAGAAATTGGATAAATAAGGGCACTGGGGAACCAGCAAGATATCTACAAAATTGAACTTTCCCCACGCTGAGAATAGCATTTTTCAAAGCCAGGCATAATATCTTACCATCCACACTGCTGCAGGGCAGAGACTCCAAAGTCCCATTAATCGAGCGTACCGCCCCTGTGGTGACAAGGAGGTCAAAACCATTTCTCATGTATTACGACATTGTAAAGTCTACAGGGATATCACGTCTGCATATGTTCTGCCCCTAATATTTGATTTCCAGGAAGGCCGGACAACTTCTCCATGAACCATGTTCTAGAAGATTCAAAACCCTTTATCACCTGTGCAGTTGTCAAATTCTGTGTTCCTGCAATGAAAATAAGGCATAGCTGGTCACAGAAATAACCACTTGAGGTTTAATTCATGCTAGCTATCTTGTTGTAGGTGATTATATATTTTTCCTTCATAGATTATAATATTTTAGATCTATACTTGCCCAGGTAATTAACACAGCATTATAGTAGTGTATGTTACATTTTTATTTGTTATTTTATCTTTGTTATGTTAGTATTTTAGCTCATCTATTTGATTTTACTTTGGGGTTGTATTTTTTTCAAATTTTGCTGGTGATTGACCAAATAAACATTTCTTTCTTTCTTCATGATCCTTGCAGCCAATCCACAATCTGAATATTAGATATTAGATAACCTAAGAAAAAAAGAACATACAGTACAGCATTATATTAAGGAAAGTCAGTCACAAAGTGTTTATATAAAGCAATCATGTACAAAAATGTGCACATTAGCAAGAATGTTTTGTGCAACCATTTCTTAAGGAAAGAACTTGAATGAAGACTTAAGATGGAGACACTGAGAGGAAAGAAGACAGACAGATTTGTCCATCACTGCAAAAGAAGGAGAGCCAGCTTGGACCAGTGGTTAAGGCACTGGAATAGAAGTGGGGAAACCCAAGTTCTACCCCTCCCTTAGGCACAAAGCCAGCTGGGAGACGTTGAGCCAGTCGCGCTCTCTCAGCCCTAGGAAGCAGACAATGGCAAATCACTTCCAAAATCTTGCCAAGAAAACTGCAGGGACTTGTCCATGCTAGGAATCAAAATCAACTTGAAAGCTCAAAAAGAAAGATACAAGAGAAGCAGTTACATCAAATCACTAACCCTATCTCAGTATATTCATTTTTGATTCTGAATAGTCATGAGACTATGATTGCTTGTTTCACAGGAGCCTGAGTGTTGCAAAGGTTTCTTTGGCCCTGAATGCAATCAGTGTCCTGGTGGCTTTTTGAACCCCTGCTCTGGAAACGGTCAGGTAAATAAAGGCATGCACGTGGTATTATCTGGGTACATTTCACTGGTTGTATGCTAGAAAATAGGCTCCATTTCTTGATCAGCTCTTTCTGTGATTCATCTTTCTGATGATTATAGAAGGAGCTATCAGCTTGCAGCTATATCTCCCCCAGATCAATGACATCTAACATCGTATAATGGACACATTCAAACTTGTATTTTCTCCCCACAATGCAGTGTATGGATGGGATGAAAGGCAATGGCACTTGTATTTGCAAGAGCGGATTTGAAGGGTCGCAGTGCCAGTTTTGTGCAGATCCCAATAAATATGGACCACAATGTGACAAAGGTAAGTATTCCTCATTCAAAAGATAAGGGAAGGAGCTATTTTGTGGTAATGCAAATGCAAACTCATCATGGAGTGTGGGATCTGAGTTCTGCCTGGGCACTTTTTCAGAGACTTCCCACTACATCCTTTTGATGCTCCAAAAGGCTATGCCTGGAAGATATGGATACCCTTCAGAATGCCATAGGTTATGCTATAGTGGTGGCAATGTGAGCAGGGAAACAAATTCTTTAAATGCCTGTTAATTTGTCATTATGCTGTGGTGCATGAAGAACCATCCTGAAGCTGATTTTCAACTGAAAAGACTGGAGCTCTGCAGAGGTTCCTGGTCAGTCATTTCCCCATAGCTGGAAAATCTTACCTTAGTCTTCCTTCCAGCTCTTGAGCATCAGCTTCTTGGTAGATCGTGTAATAGGAAGGATGGCTGGAGAGTTTTGCATCTTCCCCTCAACTGGCCAGGCTAAGCAGGGATGAAGTTGACTAAAGTGTCGTCATTCCCCCGCCCCTTTCTTTTTGTGTGTGTGCTGTGGAGATGAGGGGAATTGCTGCAGTAGTTATGGCAGCTCAGAATGGGGGAGTGGTTTTTGTTCCTTACTCTCCATGTTTCTGAATCATTACCTTCAAACTGCTTTTGAAGGATTGGGAAGTGCAAATAGTAAAAAGTATGAACCTGCCCTAGATTATAATGTGGTTGGGTAGTTCAGTATATTGTGGGAATCCAGCCATCATTTTACCAAGTTGTATGAACCCAACTATTGAGTACTATCAAAATATATTTGGAAGAGAAATGTAGACTTCATACACATATTTTCAAATTGTTTCAAATGAAAAATCCTAAAAAGGCACTGGGAATATCCCATTAAAACGGCATTTTCCCCGTATATTGGACTACAACTCCCATAATCAATGAGCACATTGCCTGTGGAGATAGGAAATTTAATTTCTCTCATTAATGTCAAACTGGTGAAGTCTGCTGTGAGAAATATAACCAGAGATTTAATGATACTTTTAAAAAAGTATGACTCCAAGTTACAGGTCTCTTTCATTTATCTCACTGATACTCCTCCCGCCCACCCCTCAACCCCTCTGCAGAATGTACATGTGTTTATGGAAAATGTGACAACCAGCTAGACGGTGACGGGAGCTGCCTTCCTGGTTCATGTAAAAGTGGCTATGCTGGAAAAGCCTGTGATGCACAGGTGTTTCCATGTGGGCCTTTTCTTCAGTTCTGCGATTCCCACGCTGATTGCATCTTTAGCAATGGTACCATGCGGTAGGTACATAATGTACATCTGCTCATTTTTTTGTGTGTGTGCCTCTCAGATAGTTTACCTGTAAGTAACATTTATCATCTCAGTTATTTGCTTTATGAGCATTCTTGCATCATGCTGATAGTTGTGATTTTTTAATGGGCTTTCTTCTTGACTGTCCTGTCTGGTTACACAATACTTCAAACAAAAGGAGACTGATCGTTATTGGTATTGTTTTTCACCTCATTTATTCGCTGTCTCTCACAAGAGAAGGTCCTCACAAGAGGTTTCCTAAGCATTCCTTTCCTATTTTACACCGTACACGGATGTGCATACAGACATTTTCATACTCACACACTGACTTTTAATCCATTGTCCCAACTCACTTGGTATTATAGTAAATTTCCATCTTTTCTGACTGGCACTCAGAAATACATGCTGCTTGCCACCTTCACAGACAGGTTAGTCATCAATACATCTTCTCTTGACAAAGACTTTATTCCTGCATGCTGGAGTCTCAGTATAATTTCTTCCAGCTGCATAAAATGCAAGTAGCAAATTGCCATGAGGAAAAGCATGTCCAGAGGATAGCGGTGAAGTGCAACATGGATGGTCCTTGGCAAGATGGAGCCTCCCAACATTCTTGAATGCTCAGCTATGTATCAGTTTTTCTTTACCCCAGCTTCTCTTTCTGATGTTCTTTCTCTTTTTCTCTTCCGCCTTGATGTTAGCTGTTTCTACTTTTCTTTCTCTCCCCTCTCCCTTACCAGGTAGCAATGCAACTACTTCTTATTTCCTTTAAGTTTTAGAAAAACTTGAGTGTATCACAGCCTCAAACTATGCAGCCTCTTTGTTTCATCCACGAGCAACCAAGGGAGAGAGTAGAGAGATGTCATATTATTTAACAAGAGAAGAATTTATGGGGAGAATCCCTCTGAGCTTTGGATCCTTGAATCTTTATTCCAACCCTTTGGGCTACCACTACCCCCACTAGTTATAAAGAGCAAGAATAGAAATTGTCTTGGGAGAATAACATACAAAGAACTTCCTTATTCTAAACTGGCTAGTGCTCTGTCCAGCAGTAGTTTTCCACATTTCTACACCATTCCCAGTCCTGATAGCTGAGATTCTGAGGTTGTAGGTGAAGATGTCATTAAAGGCCTCAGAGCTTGCATTTTGGCCATACAAGCAGATGGACCATCCAGAACTTTGGGGCAGAAGTCCAACATCCACATAACAGATTGATTAGGTCCAATTTACAAAAAGAATCCCCACTATCACCAAAAACCACTGAGACCAATAGCTAAATGTCCTTGAACTTCATACTGGGCATGAGGTGTCCCTGCAGTATTCAGTTATTTAGAACCCTTCATAAAAGGCAGAGCTCCCTCAAAAAATTCAGTTCCCTAAAGCAGAAAAACAACTGGTGCTGCATCGCTGGACTCCCCCATCAAGCTACATATTTCTCTTTTCACTCTTTATTTTTTTATCCCACCTTTATTATTTTTATAAATAACTCAAGGTGGCGAACATATCTGATACTCCTTCCTCCTCCTATTTTCCCCACAGCAACAACGAATGAGTTGGGCTGAGAGAGAGGGACTGGCCCAAAGTCACCCAGCTTGCTTTTTTGCCTGAGGCAGGACTAGAACTCACAGCCTTCTGCTTTCTAGCCTTGTGCCTTAACCACTAGACCAAACTGACTGTACCAATGATAGCTATGATAACTTGGCTTCTTGGTCAGAAATTTTTCCAAGCACCTTTCTCCACCCACAGGAGTAAAAATACAACTATTTATTTGTCCCAATAGAGGTGAATATCCCCAAGGACTCCACTATTTATTTGTCCTTCATAGCACCCAAAAGCTGAAGAACCGAACTGACTTTATGAATAATACAGTGCCTGTATCAAAATATCCTTTAGGGAGCAGACAGGAAAAATCTCTCTCTGCGGCTCTGTAGCTATGCTGCTGTTCAGTGCTGGAATGTATCTTTAACTGTTTTACCCTTTCCAAGCCTATTAATTCCACATTCTTTTATGTACAATTTTAGCTGTGCTTGTAAACCCGGCTATGAAGGTGATGGAATAATTTGCAGTGAAATTGATCCTTGTGCTCATATAAATCCACACAGTTGTAATGCTAATGTAAGTATAAATGTCTTAATTTTTTTTCTGGTAGAGGAAACTGTAAATATAGGCATAATCTTATTTGATCCCATTTAAATTCTGAATTACATCTTCCAGACTGATATCATACAAATTTACATTTAAAATAGTCACTACCAAGGGTAAATAAAATACGTTCTTGTGTATCTCAAATTGGTTTCATTATTTTATTTAAAAGTAATAGGCAAAGGAAGCCAGTTCATCATTTCACAGAAAGCACTTTCCTCTTCCTCTTCCAGTACATGCATAACTTCATTAAAAGAATAAATAATAATCATACAGGTTGACTTCCAGGTACAGTTCACAGCTAAAGGTTTGTTTTATTTTTTCATAATTTCACAGGATCTGCTTTAATTAGTCAGTTGGGCAATGTATTTATTAGTTGCCTGACCATGAATTTTGGACATTTTAATATGGGAAATGAGAATAGTTATGTTTGTAGTTTTTAGGTTAATTATTTGAATTGACCAATGTGTTGTTTTTTCAGCCCTGAAACCAGTCATTTTTTAAAAATGAAAACAGCACCTCAATAGTCATTCTAGAACAGGGATAGGCAAACCGGCAAACATGCTGGCTGGGGGAATTCTGGGAGTTGAAGTCCACACATCTTAAAGTCCATGAGGTTGAGAAACACTGCTCTAAATGAAAAGGTTATCTGCAATCAGACATTTGGCAGTCAGCCCTCTGGATGGGAGAAAGAGAAAGTAATATGTTCACTTTGAGCTCTGGTTCTTCCCCCACTGACTTTAGTCCCACTTATGAATTATTACTTATTCATTAGGTTTATATTCTTCCTTTCCTCTAATACTTCAAATAAAACTGTGTACATAAAATCAGAATTTAGCACATGCAAGAAAATAGCGGTTATCATTTAACAAGTGATCAAATTGTTTTTAGTCTGGAAAAACAATAGTTCTGAGATGAGAGAAAACTGATTAAGAAATGAAGGCATTATAATTTAGTATACGTGATTCAGAATGTATTTACTATCAGTTGGGTGAATGTTTCCACATATCTTGAACAAGATATGAAAATCTGTGAGCCTAATTCTAGAGGCATAGATCCATAAGAATTTAGTCTTATTTGTAATTAATACTAAATTTCTCACTGAAATCATAGTCCAAAATCAAAAGGTAGGATAATATGAAGTATTTACATTTATTCCCATGTAGTTACATTTATGCAGGTGAATCATAAGTGAAATCTGATCATCTTTTTTACCACTGAAGACTTCATTGTTCTATGCTACTACACAGTTTATATTGAAAGACCCTACTTTCCTTTCCTCTCATTTCATTATGTGTAAAAAAACAGCAGATTGTAGTATTTACTCCCAGAAATATACTCGTAGGCAGAATGCATCAAGACTGGTCCTGGAACTCATGAATGTGTGTGCCAGCCAGGATGGACAGGAAATGGAAGAGACTGTTCAGAAATCAACAATTGCCTGCTGTCAAATTTTGGAGGGTGTCACACTAATGCTACTTGCCTATACATAGGTCCAGGCCAAGTAAGTTTTCTTCTTCCTTAACTTTTTACACCGTATAGTTTTTATGCAGTAATACTAGAGAAGGTGTCAACTGTTGGATGTCAATAATGGAGAACATCCTTCTTCACGGGTGCATCCTTCCAATATACTGGGATTGCAACACTGAACGTTTTCAATCAGTCTGGCCAATGGCAGCCCTAACACATCTGGAGGGCACAGCGTTGAAGAAGAAAGTTCTATAACATTGGGCTCATGGTTTTTGCAATAATAGTATAGTTCATGAGCATGCAGTCCATAGATCAGGAAGGTGGCCATAGAAGGAATCATAGCCATTCTAGAATTGCTGAAGTATTGTCTGAGGTCAGTTGCTATATCTACTATCAGCCCCATATCAACCTAGCAAGGCATTTTGTAAGCAAAAGAGTTGAAAAGCAACTCTGTGTGTGCACGCATGTGGAGATATATGTTTATGTATAAAGAGAAAAAAAGTAAATACCATCAAGCAATCAGCCAAGGCCATAGACTCATGTAAATGAAATGACTATTTCTTGACATGAAGACAGGATACAGGAAAAGGTGTCAGACAGATGTAGTAGGATAGGATGCTACCCTGTGACTTTACCAAGATGGTTCTGTCTCATGCATCCATCAACTGGAATTCTTGTAAGTGCTGAGCAAAGAGAAGATCCTGCTCTGATGTAACTGATTAATCAGACATGCTCATGGTGGATGAGATGGACATTCAGGTATTCAGATCCTAAACGCTGAACTGGGCTTCAGAAACACATCAAGAAACAACAAGGACAATATAGTAGTGAAGATGGATTGACAGGATCCAAGAAACTGGCCCCTCTTCAGATTTTAGATACTGCATATTTTATTGTCTGAGCTTTTGGGACACTCTTCAAAAGTATTGAAATACATTCACTTTGATGCAGCCTTAACAATACGATACAGTATGAGCTGAAAGACTGAATAAATAGAACCTGTTGTATAAAGTATGCAATAGCTGAACTTGTGCATCTGCAGTCCTTGGTCCTTGGTCCTTGGTCCTTGGTCCTTGGTCCTTGGTCCTTGGTCCTTGGTCCTTGGTCTTTGCATGGGATGTTCAAGTTGTCTGGTCTTTACAACTTAACTATAAGTTTTAGCACTAATATAATAAATACATCTGCAGTCTTGTGTTGAGTTGGCAGGATTTTCTGAGTCAACTTCCAGCATTGTCCATTGCAATTGTCAGTTGACATACTTCATCCTAAACTTTGTTTCTCCTAAACTTTTAGTGAAAGAGTCAGTAATTTATAGGAATGAGCAAGTCTATTTCAAGCACACTGTTTTATTCTTTATTGTCTATATAATGCAGAATGATTGTGAATGTAAAGAAGGGTTTCGGGGCAATGGATATGAATGTGAACCAATAAACTACTGTTGGGAACAAAATTGGAAATGCCATCCTTTGGTGAGTTATTCATTTGGATTGGTTTATAAAATATCTCAAACTCTCTGTAGCTTTATTTTTGAATTAAACAATATTGAAATAAGATTTAGCTTGTGACTGGAGAACAAGTAATCTTTCAGGCTCCTCATTCAAGCTGTCTAGTCTTTACAACCCAGTTATATGTTTTAGCACTGACATAATAAATTTTGGAATGCTAGTAATGCTATGGGGAACAGCTCTGATTTCCAACCAGTTGTTACTGTGAGTCATTTACTCAAGAAATCACTTGCCCTGCTCTATGAAGATACAGAATTAACCCTCATCATCTGCTGCATTCCCATTGAACAGCCCCCTGATTGGAATTCTTTGGGGAGGTCCTGTTCCTGCTATTGTCACCATATAGTCACATCTCAGTCTTATTGGTAATTGGCAATAGTTCAACTTTCAGGTGAGCTTACTGCAATGCTCAGAGGATTGGACCTGAGCTGAGGAGAGGTGATTTCAAATTTTAAAGTGGATTTGGGCAAGCCAAACAGTATCTCTCAAACTCAGAAAACAATTTTGCTTTTCAAAAGTGATCCAGGAATATGATGGATCCAAATGTCTCTCCAACTTTCTGTCAGCATTTTTTAACTATATACAGTCAGCTTTAGTTGTGGCATAAAAGTCATCCTAGATACCTCTCTAATGGATCTGCCTCTCCTCTGAGAATCTTGTACCAGAGGAGTGGTTGCATTCACACACGATGAGTGCCAGATTGGCAAGCCATGAAAACTCTGTGAGTCCTTCTTTTATGTAGAAGCCTCCACATGATACAAATGATGGCTTTCACAGGATATTGTAAGTCTATCATGCTGAAAAATTTAATAATAGGACTTTAGATATTAGTTGAGTAATCCTTGCAATGAAACCAGTTAATCCATCTATTTGAATTAAAAATACAGTATTTGTCTTGCAGATGCTTTGATCCTCAAAGCCTTGTAGTTAATAGTACATATTCACAAGCACATAAGCAAAGCACACTTGAGTCTTGGATCAGAAGCGTACCCATCAACTGAAGCCTTAGCAGCTTTGCTACATGTGAGCGCTGCTGCCTTTTATGCTGCAAACCACGTCACACCAAGAATTCACAGACACAGCTGTTCAACAAGGTTCTTTTTTCCCCACAGGCAGTTTGTCAGCTCACAACTTCTGGAGTCTGGAAATGTGTGTGTTCAAAGGGCTATGAGGGAGATGGCAGTATATGCTATGGCAACGTTATGGATGTGAGTAAAAGCCCTCTAAGTGATCTTATAATCATTTTTATGACTTTGTTTGCATTTGTTTATCTAGTCAGTCAGACAGACAAATGTGGTCAGAGATAGGACTACCTCAATTATCCACCAGGAGTGAACAATGCGTAGCAGCTGAAGTTCCATATCCCTATTCTTATTTTTTGTCATAGGATCAGCCAGCCATAGATTTATTTGCAGAACTAGAGAATGCCCTTTGCCAGAACATCTGCACAAGGGCATGCCATGGTACCAACTCTCTCATGGACATTTCCTTATTTGTTGAATGAGACCAATTCTTCATATTTTCCCCCCATATCCACTAATAACAAGACTTATCGGTAAAATCTGTCAAGATTGCAACAAATAGCAAGTTCTTGGAACTTATACTCCTTATTCAAAGGCAATGCTATCACCTGCCCCACATTCTAGATCTCCTTTCCATGCTTCAGATAGCACTTCATCACCCAGATCACCAGTTACTTATGGCATAAAGGATCACACTGACTTTTCTCACAGAATAACATTTTGTGACTGATAGTATCATGCTTATCCCAATTACTGAAGCTTCTTCCGTCACAAACATTAGAGACCCACTCAACAAAGGCAATGGACATTCCAGCTATAGAAGTTTGGAGTATTGCACTGTGTCATGTGACATTTGATCTTGTCTGTCAAATTTTATCTGTCATTATTGTGTGGATACATATAGATTTGGCCCTGCTTTTGGATGTGCTATTATATACCTGTGTTTTCACTAATAAGTGCTGCTTGTTACTCACCAACACATTTTGTAGAAACCAAGAAATAGAAGAACCTATAACTGTGTTCTTCAAGTAAACATCTGGCCATTAACATGACCCACTCATTAGCTCCTCACAGGCAGTCTTATATGCAAAATTTGCTTGCTGCAGGAACTGAGGTAAATAATAGGGGTCTTTTCAGACACGTGCAGTGTGTCTGCCAAAATGCAGCTGAGCTGTAGAATGTCTCAGTGATGCATGAACAGATGCAGGAATATCTATAAGTATGAGTGCCCAGAGGGCCACTCAGAGAACCACCACAGCTCTAGGTAAGCCCGCAGTTCTTATGAAAGGAAGAATTTTTTCTTAGACATTTGGGTTTTAGTGATCCAGATGTTTCCTGAATTGGACTCAGCTGTATATACAAAGGAAGGTTCTACCAATGCATCAGGAAGCCATAGTTATGAGCCTTTATGCATACCACGTAAATCACTGTATCATGATAAAAATAACTGCTAATTGTAATTTATTTTTTCTCTCTGTTCAGGAATTGTCTTCTCTGTCAGCTGGCTTTAATGAGTGGATTAATGTGAGTAACTCTTACAAAACTATTAGGAAAGGGACTAATAGTGCAAACCTGGTTATGTCTGTTAAGAAGTGAATCCCCTTGAGTTCAGTGACACTATTTCCTAGGGGAAAGGATATAGGTTTGCAACCTAAATGGCAATTTGACTAATGGTTTTGATTATGCATTATCTCGCTCCCCAATATGACATAGTCACTTGTTGAGATGAATGGCCATACAAATTGAATGAATGAATGAATTCAAAAGTTCTCTAGGTAGTTTACCATAGGGTGTATTTATTAAATTTCTCTTCACCCTCCAGCTTTTTAAAGTAACAGGTTAGGCTTCTACTTTAAAGTATATCCTTTTTAATATAATAGTAATGTAATTATTTCTTCATGTTGCTCTTTAGTATGTGTGTGTGTGTGTGTGTGTGTATATATATATGTATATATATATGTAATATATGTATGTATGTATGTATGTGTGTATATATATATATTACCACAAACTACTAAATCTTTTCAAAGAAATGCTCATTGTAATGTTTCTGAAGTTTAATGAAATTAAACATAGTAATACAAATTACTGTAAAAGTGACCTCAATTGTCTGACGTTGATGTTTTGCTTCAAGAGGCTTCTTTGCTTTTCAGAATTCTCAAGGTTAAATCACTGTGGTTGTTTTGAAGACCTTTTATTTTTATTTCATATGGGAAACCTCCTGGCCTATATGAGAAATTACAGTATTGATATATTAATAACAGTACATTTTATTCTGTCCTTCCAGACAGCTGCAATAAGAACTCTGCTGACAGACATGAACAATATAACCATCCTTGCACCTTCCCACCAAGCAATTCAAAACATGGATCAAGATACAGTTGCTTTTTGGACATCCAAAAACAACATTCTGCTCATAACCAAGTATGTTAAAGTATTTGGGTCATAATTATTGTTCTGTTTATTTAATATATAGTGTTGAAATTCCTTTACACTATACAGAGATCTTAATTCTTATAACAGATTTGTCTGCCAAGTCATCACTGGAGTTGTACATTTGCAAAAGAGGAACTAAAGATGAAGTTTTGACTCACCTAAGGAAATAGTTCTATGATATTCTTTGAGTTAAAGCTTTTTTGGCATCCTGACAGGGGTAATTCAATTCAATTCAATTCATTCAGGCTTCGCCTGGCTCCAGAACAACTCTGGGCAGCACCTAAATATTTGATCACAGCAGGTGGCATCATCTGCTGACTTTTACCAATCTTTAAAGTGCTAAACAGGCCACACATGGTTAATATTGGAATGGGAAACCACCAGGAAATCCTTGGGCAGGAGACTAAACTGGAAAAACAGAAAAGGCAAGGAAAATAATTTGGAACTGTTACCATAAAATCTACAGGTCCATGTAGTCATCAGGAATCATCAAGCTCAAGTAAATGAAAACTTTTCCTTTTTTATTGTATTGGAACCCAGAACTCAGTTTTGTATCCTTAGCACAAATTCATTTGTCTTGTTTCCTTTGGCCAGCTAGGAAATAATTACTATATTTACTTCAGATTTAGAAAATTCTGTTCTGGTTTTGGGAGGAGCTAAGTTTCCATGAATGTCTTGTGCTACTTAATTGGTTTTATGTCTTTTTATGTCAGAGATATGCTTTCAAATCTCACTGTAATTCAGTGATGTAATATGGCAGCACCTGAGAAGCAACCCATATTTAGCAGCCCAGATGTCTCTTTCTATGCTTTTTCTATGTTTCCCTGAACATCATGTTCATTTATTGGTTTGTCTAGCATGAGACAATGAAGAGCTGGACTGGGACCCAGGTTCAAGTCATAAAGCTCACTGCATGTCCTAGGCTCATTCATTTACCTCAGCCTAATCTCCCTCACAGGATGGTTGTTGTAGGGATTCAGGAGAAGAGACTCCCTCATGTGTGCTGCCTTGAGGTCTAAGAGAAAAAAAATCAAGATATAAATTCAATATGATATGAATTAAATATTAATAATGAAAGAGACTTGTGGCAGGATATAAATAACAAAACAACTGAAGAAACAGAACAAAATGAAACAAAATAAAAAAACAAAGTATAGTCGCTAAGATCAAAAAAGAACTGGCACTGCTTATTTGAATATATAGCTGTGGATTCAATTGCTTGGCCAGTACCTTCCATATGATCATGAAAGATGGCATTTATGGCAAGGAACTACATAGTAGGGGCCCCTATTTACAGAAAAGACTGTATCACCTAGGTAGAAGAACATATCTGCAGATACTCTATGTTGGAGAGGATTGTGCCAATAGAAGAGAATATATGTAGCTCAGGGTTGAACTGTGGAGTCCTTGGCGCTCTCTGAGCTTGGTTGTTTGGTTGTTTGCCTGCAGACGTTTCATTACCCAACTAGATAACATCATCAGTGCTAGGGGGTGTGGAGTTTGCTTCCTGTTTTTATACAACAGCTTTCTGGTGTATAAACATATTGTTTTCTGCTTGATTGTTTGTATGGTGTTAATCTCTGCTTATCTGGGTGTAGGTTGCTGGAGAGAATGTGTTCTGGTCTTTTTGTTTCCTTCTTAGCTTTTATATTGTCTCTTTTGAATGGTGTGTAAATATGGTTTATCTCTATGTGTCTCTTGATGGCTGATTTGTCTGAATGCCAAGCTTCCAGGAATTCCCTAGCGTCTTTGGATTTAGCTTGGTCTAAGATGCTCAGTTTCCCAGCTGAAACTATGGTTAAGTGTGTCCATGTGTTGTGAGATTAAGGAGTTTTCATTGTGTCTTCTGACTGCTAGTTGGTGTTCATGGATGCGCTCTGCTAGTCTTCTGCCTGTCTGTCCTACATAGTGGCTGGTTCAGTCCTTTTACTGTATATTGTAGATGACTCCTGTTTTTTCTTCTTGGGCTACTGGGTCTTTTGGTTTACTTAGGATATTTTGGTTGTGGTTTGTATAGTGCTGCAGTGAGCTATGAATTGTCCCTACGCCAGTAGTTTTGGACTCAGAAAGATGCAATGCTCTGCAGGCAAATCAATACTTCACATAATTTAAATATGCTTTTCCCCATTAGGCATCACATATTAAATGGAACATACACAATCGAGGATCTCCGAAAGCTGTCACAGTCTGATGGATTTGCAACAACTTTGCAGGACAACTTCCTATCATTGTCAAAAAGGAATGGGGTATGTTGACCATTATGTTACAACCCTTAACTTTAGGCTGTTCTTCTCATATGTGCTAGGAAAAGATATGCTGAACCTATATTCTCTTGAATTTAAACATGTTTCTTCAAAGAGCCAGGATGAGAAATCTTTCATAGGCCTGAAATGTGACAATGGGACTGTGATATGACAGAGTTGTAATTATTCACATCAGCTAGTTTTCCCTAGAAGATCATTATTATTTTTTACCTTTTCCTTCTAGTGAAAGCCACAAATAAGTGCTACATATAGCAACTCAAGGTTCATGTTACCAATGGCCCACTTTTGGAATCTCAGGTGGGGTAGGATGCATTCCATAGATCTAGGGTTAACGTATATATATTGCAGAATTAGGGCTGCCAGATCCGGGTTGCAAAATTCCAGATGACCATTAAATGGCAGCAACATTTGTAGAATTTTTACCAATGTGTATCTGCAAAAACAAAAAGGAACATGATGGAAACAGAAGGTTGCAAATGGAAGAGAACATTTAGATTGCACACACAGAGAATGTAATATTTTGCAAATGTTAGCAGAATAATTTGATAACAAAAGTCTTGGCTAGAAGCACCCTTGGAATAAGGTAGTTTTGTACCTAGTCAGTTCTGATTAGAAATCTGGTAAATTTTGTGCACCTAAATAAGTACCTTTGGTCCTCTCTTTTCCAGAATCTTTCAATTGATGGAGCCAACATAGTAACTGGTGATATTGCAGCTACAAATGGGATTATACATATAATTGATAAGGTATTTGCTTCCTAAACAAAATCTTAAAAAATACCCCCCCCCCCCCCAAGTTAGCTTCTCCATCCAACTGGGAGAGAATTCTGTAGAATTTGGCAATTTGCTCAATATAATGCATGGTAAAATTGTTACTCCTAATCAAGTATTGTCTGATTGTGAACTCTGATTTTTTCCCCCCCTTCCACTGGCACAATTCCCTTTTAGTTAACTATGTAAAATACATTGTTAAAATCATGAAATTCTTTGACCAAAAATCACGCCTTTTTCGTTAGAAATGTGGCATTTGTCCAAATGCTTTTTTGCTTTGGGATGAAGTGAATCTTTGCCATTCTGTCTTTGGAAATCTAGGCACAATTTTTATCCATAACAGCACTTTCATTTTGCTGAATTAATAGTGATTTTTTTTCAATCTTTTGAAAGATTAGTATATAATGGATGTGACTTCCTTTCCTGTAGTACTCTGTAGGCTGAACTTTACTGCAGCAAAATGATTTGTCTGGATCTGACCTAGTGTTTTTTGTATTTGCAGGTTCTGGCACCCCTCAGAGGAGTGAGTAGCACGTTGCCAAAACTGCTTCTTCGCTTGGAACAGATGCCAGATTACTCCATTTTCAGGAGCTATGTTATTGTAAATACTCATGTTCTTATTAGAATTCCCATGCACAATCAAACCAACTTAATTCATAATTTTGCATTTGTCTTTGTATAACAGCACTACAACCTGGCAAATGAAATAGAAGCAGCGAGTACTTACTCTGTTTTCGCTCCAAGCAATAACGCCATTGAAAGTTATCTGAAGAATAAACAGGCAGTATCTCTCGTATGTATTGACTCCCAAGCCTTTTCTTAAGAAAATATCTTCAGCAGAGATTTGTTCACTAACTATCTGATGGCTCAGAGCAAAACTGAAACAGAAATAGCCATTGCTCACACACTGCTAGGTGCTAGCTGGTGTTCTGGCATAAGGATAGTGTGTTCTTTCTGAATATCTACATAAGCAGTGTCTGAGTGAGATGCATTAACTCTACATATCTAAGCTTTTGTTCTAGAGGACAAACAACTGGACTATGTCTTTCCTTTGAAGCATAACCCCACATTGATCTCTCATTTGTTCCTTGATTGATGTTGGGCCCAAATAAAATTAGTATGATAAGGCACCAGGGACATTTCTGCAGCCAACAAGTGTGTTGTTATCAATTTACAAGAAGAGTTAGATTACTTCGCTCTTTTCTACTTCTGGGTTGCCAAAATTCTGCATCAGATTGAACCGAAAGGAATTGGTTCATGAATAAATAGGATTATAAGACTGATAAATAGGATGAATGGGGCTATAGTATTAATAAATCTGGAATGGATGGTGGATGAACAGAAAGATCTGTCAGTATTCTATAAAGCAAAGCAGGAGCAGTGCAACAAATTGATTACAACTAGAGTTTGTGATTATTAAACAAATCACATCCTCTTCTAAAGCTAAACCATAATGGTTTCTCATTTTGCTTTGGTAAAATAAGGATAAGCAGAGAGTAGATTAATATATTAGGGGCATCCACACAGTATGGTAAAAGAAAAAAAAAAAACAAGATGGTGGCCACAACAGTGCAGTCGAAGTTCCACCTGTTTTTTATGTGACACATATATAAAATCAGACAGAGCTTTGATTATGCCATTGTTGATGCCATCTTGACTTTTTATACCATACCCTGTGGATGCCCCTATTGTTAGTGGTCTCAAACTCAACATACCTGAATAACAATGAACACAGAACACAGGAAGCCTTAGGACCAAATGACAAGTCATGTTTCTCTAGATTTTTATTTAAATCCAAAAGAAATGTGGAGTCTGCCTTCTAGAGGAGAAATCATACAGATGAGGAAAAGCCTCTTAACCTTTCCGCCTTCAACAGTTTTTCTCCTAAAATCGCAAAACAGCTTTTTTTTTTTTTTTTTTATCCCACTTTTTTTATTTTTTTAAATAACTCAAGGTGATGAACATACTTCATACTCCTTCCTCCTATTTTCCCCACGGCAACAGCCCTGTGGGGAGAGTTGGGCTGAGAGGGAGTGACTGGCCCAAAGTCACCCAGCCAGCTTTCATGCCCAAGGCGGGACTAGAACTCACCATCTCCTACTTTCTAGCCCTTTTACCCTATTCTTGTCTCTCTGCCAAATGTAGTGTGAAGGTAGCAGTGATGAAATTGTAAGCCTATGAACAGGACCTGGCATTTATATTTTGTACATATATAAATTCTGAAAGTTTTTTTTCCAGTTATAGTTATAATTAATATAACCTATGACCTGCATACTTTTTTCAACGGAGTCTTTGAATTAAATAGGGTTTGTAGGTTTAAGAAAAATTACAAATCCTATTTACCAGATAATTATAGAATGTGTGTTCATGCTGTAAATAATTATCTCTCTTTCAAGCCACCATGAACTTGCTTTCTCTTTAAAGAAAAATCCCCACATCCAGTCCAAAGGTAATTCACAATAACATCTTCTTGCTGTTGAATGGTGCTGATGACCATCGTTTTATTAGAAAAATTGGAAATTTGACACCCTGCTAAAGTATTTAACAACCATTATTCATTGAAACCACAGGATGAAGATCAGATCCGGTATCATATTATCCTGGGAGAGAAGCTCTTGAAAAATGACCTGCATGATGGGATGTTCAGGGAAACCATGCTTGGATTGTCCTTCAGAGTAGGATTCTTCATTCATGAGGCTCAGGTAAAGCCAGTGCTAATTATCATGGCATTTGCTGTAATTTATTTATCTAAACACCTGCTCTGAGAAGAGATTTACATTGGCTTAATTGACTGTGTCAGAAAAGTCCCGTTGGTTTCAGTAAGTAGGATTTTAAGCCAGGCTCCCCAAGAGGATGCACTGGTATAAATGTATTTGCCCTCTCAGCTAATGAGGCAACTCATCACATGTAAACATTAAATATGTGCATTAAGTGCTGGCCTTGAGGGAGAATTCAGAAAGTAGGATTTAGAACAAATGAATCAACATTAATCTTTGGCTTTAACTAGGAGCCCACTCTTTAATTGCTCTTTTCTGCTTCTTCCAAGGCTGTATTTTTGAAGCGGGATGGTGATTTTTTTTCTAAATGGTCTTAATCAGACTTTCCAGATCAGGTGCTTTCCAGTTAAGTTGGAAGATAACTCCATCATTCTATCCAGTATGATTAGTCACCACATTGGGAGATCCTAGCCTAGATTAAAGCTTTTTAACAGAGACAGAGGTAACACAAGTTATCACTGTTTTCATGATGAAAGAAATGTTGTGATATTGCAACACATGCCATTGATCCTTTGGGGCAGTTATCACACTTGCAATGCAACTCTGCTTACATCAGTCTGATCCTCCTTATCCCTTCCACAGACACTGCTGCTCAGAGAACCAGAGTGATGCACAGTGATAACCAACAGAGCAGTGTTTCTCAATCTTGGCAACTTTAAGACATGTGGACTTCAACTCCCAGAATTGAAGGCTGAGGAATTCTGGGAGTTGAAGTCCACATGTCTTGAAGTTGCCAAGGTTGAGATACACTGCAATAGAGCTTCATCACATGGTTTAATCATACGCTGTTAAATTATATGCAGTTTAGTCATACGATCAGAAATAAACAAAATCTGTTTTTACAGAAATACAGTGGTTTGAATAAGATGTAATTTTTGCAACTGCAGACCTTCAGCTTAAGGTTTTCTAATGCAACGTCCTTTATTATACTTACTAGCTGAACAAAATGGGGGTGGGGTGGGAGTAAATGTTATGCAAGCAATATTTTTATAAGTAATATCCCTCTCATATGTTAACATTTTATGCATAGCTCTACATAAATGAGGCACCTATAAATTACCCAAATGTTGCAACAGATAAAGGAATAATCCATGGACTGGGAAGAGTAATGGAAATTGTAAAGAACAGATGTGATATTAATGATACTGTGATTATAAATGTAAGTTGCGCCCTTCTGAATATGCATTGGATTTTTTAAAATTAATGTGCATTGAAAAAATACCATTCAATATATACTTAAAGCAAATAATTTTTGACTTGTACTAAACTGTAGTGACATATATTACAATTAGCATTATAATAACACAGCTGTCTAACATAAGCCTCCCAGAACTTTCTATTAATCTGGTTTTGTCTAGTTTCTGTAATAGAAACGTGTGTGTGTGTGTGATCTCCAGGTATTATCTCTATATAATCTGCCTAATGTTAAAACACCATTTTCCATCTTGGTATCACTATCTATGTTGGAACAGTAATTCACAGGTAGCATAAGGAGAGAAAGCTGGGCTGCAATCTGATAATTAATCAGCTGACCAATTCAGCTCTTATCCACCTTCCCTGGCAGTGGCTCTCTACCTGCCTTTCCTATTCTTCCCACCTCTCCCCAACTTCTAAGTTTATGCCTATATACATTTCATACCCTCAGCAATTGCCTGGGCTTTAGATAAAGAAGGGTAGTTCTGATGTAAAGATATACTTACTCTGTTGCTTGAAATGCCGTAGCAAACTCAAGCCCTCTATTTGCATGTCAGGTCTCCCAAGTTTGCCATCTCAAACTGTTCATTTGCAAGATGCTCAGGAGATCATTTATCATTCCCTTTTGTACAGCTTCGCAACAGTCTGTTGTAGCGGATCAGGATTGAAAGGAAGTGCTTGAGCCAAGATCACAGTCTTTCACTGTGACTCTTAGGTCTCATCTTTCCTCCACTGATTTTATTTTGGTTGACAGTGAGAGGCAGATCCCAAAATAAGAGACACATGAAAAAATAAATGCAATGGTAATGGCCGATTTATATTCAAGCCACAGAGTAAAATAATTTGGGGAAAATAATTGTAAGAAAGATAAATAAAGCTAATTGATCGAGGAAATTGTCAAAGCTTCTCTGCTCATGTAAGACCTCTTATATACCAATGCAGAAATGCTTTCTGGGTCTTCTCTTTTGCAAATGTATGTTTTCTTTTTAAGGGAAAGTGTGTGCCCTGCTCATATATATCTAACTGCCCTGCTGGAAGTACACAAATTGTAAGTATTTGAGAATAAAATTGCTAGAAATAGGGAGTAGCATCTAAGTCTGTCTCCCATATTTGTGTGCATCCAGGACTCCTATAATTGCCTGTAAGATACATAGATTCTAAGTAGGAATTAGCACAAGTTCTATTCTAATGGCTGATGTTGGCTGATCTCAAGAAAGTCAGCAGAGCCAGATCTGGCGAGTACTTGGATGGGAGAACACCAGGAAATCCTAGGATTACAGATTAGACTGGGATGTTAAAAAGTTCCAGGAAAAAGGCAATGGCAAACCACTTCAATATTGCTATGAAAACTATATGGATGTTTTTATGAAGTCATCAACAACTGAACTTGACTGGAAAGAGGCTTTGCCTTATGTAATTACCTGCTTTGGGGGACAGATTTCCAATCCAATTATTTTTCATCTAATTTTTCATTAAAAATCCATAGGATTTTTTCCAGATTAGATTTGGAAGGGGACATAGGTTGCAGTTACTTCTAAATTTGGCAAGATTGCCAAATGGTGTCTTCAGACTTAAGCAAAGAACAACAACAACAAATACTCAGAGTGCTTACAGCAACCTTGTGCTTTTGAAATAGTACACTGGCTGGAGTGGCCACATGACCATGCTGTAGTTTGCACAGCTGTAAGCCTGCCAAGCTTTTACTAAGTAAAAACATGAAGAGGCTCTCAGCTACTCTGTAAAACAAAAAAAGCATATGCAATCTTCATCTGCTTCTTTTATACATTTTTCTCAGGAAGAACAAAAATCAACAGGTTGTGAATCTGGACAGCATTTCTTCTACTGTGGGTCTGCTACACCAAAATGTCCAGATTGGCTTCCAGCATGATTCCTGATGGAATTCTTTTTTGATCCCTTAATTCTAAGAAATATGGCCCATGTAGGATACTCTGAAAATAAGTATGACTATTGAATTCATGGGTGGATGCCCAAGAACAACCCATGCAAAGCTGACTGTTGGCTGACATATTGCTGAGAAGTGCACCAAACCAACCACTGGAGAACAAAGAATCAGAACAGCGCCAGAGAGCTGAATTGTGCCCATGTTTCTATATTGATACACAATTAGGGCTGAAAATATAATATGGGTATAACCTCAAAAAAACTCTGAGAATAATTTTCCATGTTTGAAAGAGGATTGAGTATAACTATTATCATAGAAATGTCTAAATAGCTGTCTCTGTAGAAAAAGATCTCAGAAAACCAGTAGTGTTTTCCAGGACTTCTCTGTCTGTACTGTTTGACTATAGCTGCTGTAGTTGTCTATGTACCAGGATATGAGTACAAAATTCTTTATGACAACTTCAGTGAGAGTTATTTTAAATGAGAAAAAGTTATTCAATATTCTGTATAACTGTTAGCATCTCTCAACTGGGTATTTATTTAGCAACCGCAAGAATAAGAGCAAATTTAGCATATCAATATACAAAGAACAGGTTTCAAGGTCTTAGAATCTAAAAATAGTCACCAGGAAACAACAAAAGCCAGGCAAAGAATATAAAAGCAACAGTAGCTCTATTGTCCATGATGAAAATTATCCCAAATCCAAAAAAGTGCTGTCTTTATTAAGTGAACTAGTTTTACATAATTTTTGCAAATATTTGAGTTGCAAAAACTCTTGATCACGAAGTGGGTTAAAAAAAATGGGGGAAGAAGATATGGTCTATTTTGGTAAACTGGTAATAATCTCAGTCCTAGATTACACTGTTGGATGGAGTGATGGGGAACTTGTGGATATGCTCAGAGTAAGATTAGTTTTTAAATTAACTTTAAAATAAATCAGGTTAAAGTTGAATCCTCATCAAGATGGACTTAATGTTTGTGCAGAAGGGATTTCTGTTTCCCCCAGTGATAACTCTGGACATTTTGAAAGAAGAAGGGAAGAACAAACATTTACAAAAGCATCAGTATAGAATGCAAGAGGAGGAAGGAACTGGATATACATCAAACCATCAGGATCAGAAACTTTCCAAGTTTTCATGGATTAATAGTGTCTATTATTTCCTCTAATGATGATGCTGAAACCAAATAAACAATCTGATCTTGCAAAATCTTCAAGATATTTACTTAAATCAAAAAAGCATGAACTTGTTCCTCAGAAACCATTAAAACACTATAAAATTGGGTAAAAATTGTGAGGTATTGAATCAAAGTCATTATATACTTGTCCACGGAATCCTTAATTGTACAGATAACATTTACTTGACTTTCCCCCTCCATATACAGTTTTGATTGTTTGCCAGGTTTACATGATATGGACTTTTTAATAACATATTTAAATACCACCTTGAATCAACAGAATGAATGTTCCCAAAAGAATTGATCATCTTACTGGAATATAGTCAGCTATAACAAAAGAACTTATATTACATTATTTATCCAATCAATCAAAAATTGAGATGTTAAAACAATCATCATGCTAAGAAAGTTTGGATGGGGAGCTGAAAAGAAGGAAGTAATCCCTTTCTGTTTTACTGCAAGACATGCCTCATTGAGCTGTTTTATTGTTCTGGATTATCTGAGGTGGCTGGTCAGGAAAAATAATCATCTTCGTTGCCCAAAATTCTAAAGAACTTGCTTGAAAAGAAAGCTGTAAAATATTATCATGAGTCGTTGATTTAAGGAGTTTAACCACAGCAGGACTGGACCTCAATCTTGAGTGCAAATGGAAGCCAACAGAATTGTTTTATTTTTAAAGTATTACACTGTTTGAAGTACATTTAAAATATTACATCAAATTTAGAACAGCTTTCTGCAGTATTTCTGTTTAATACAGTATATGTCTTATTAAAATACTTTTTCACTAACATAGCTATACTTTATACAGCCAGGCAAGAAGGGGATCTGCTATTATTTCTACTTCTATGGGAAAAGCCTGCGTGTTGGATGCCAGTCAAAATGTGCTAAAACTATAATTGTAAGTATACTATTGCTACAATTCCATGAAAAAGAGTGTTAGGTTTATACATTGCTCCAAGCCTGAGATACTAAATCCAGAAGGTGCAGGATGCTGAGCCCCCAGATCCACTTCATAATAATTCAGTGGCAACATTTCTTTTCTTTGAGGGGAGGACAATTAAAGTTGAAAAATATATTTTTTAATTTAACTGTTTTCTGGTGTTTTTTTTTAAGCCTCACATTTTTTTCCTAAATGTTCCAATGATGTATAGCCCATGCCCCATGTGATCCTCAGAGGGAAAATAATAGAAAAAAAATGTTTAGCCTCTGACTAAAAGAAAGAGTCTGGATTTTAACCCTGTTTTATGTGCAGGTAAATTTTTGGAAAATACCCACAAAAGGTTGCTCAGCAGTGAGCAACGCTAATTTAGCATGTTGTGTGACTACAGTGATTCTGGGTTAGTTAAGAAAAAGCACTAAAATAACAATGATTCAACACAATGGGTAAACATAGCCAGAGAATATGAAGAACTGATTATTATGTCTAATTCCAAAAAGGCATCTAGGTGCTCTTGACAACCAGCTCAAGAATTCCATCCTTGCTCTCTGGTTTTCTTCTTTTCCATGGATTCCAATTACAGTTGCCTTAAAGAATTTATTTCTTTTTAGACCAAAGAATGTTGTGCAGGTTTTTATGGCCCACAGTGTGAGCCTTGTCCAGGATTATCCGGAAATACATGTTTTGGCAATGGAATTTGCTTGGATGGCATCAATAGCACCGGGTCTTGCGCGTGTGAAGCGGGATTCCAGGGAGTGGCCTGTGATCGATGTATTGAAGGCAAATATGGCAACAGCTGTGATCAAGGTACTTCTGGCTTCAGAATCATTTACCTTGCTAAGTTTTCCAAGTAATTGTCAGGGAGTTATCATAGCCACAGACGTAACAAATGATGCTACCCCAATCCTCTTGTTTGTTGTTTCTTGTGGACCACAGTGAAATTCAGAGGGATTTTCTTGGAGAGCAGTTTAGGAGGATCCATATGCATCCAAGTGAATGAAGTGCTATCAATGAATAATCAAAAGCTTTATCCAGCTTTTACTTAATTTTATGTTCTAATATGTAACATTTTACTACTGTGTTTTTCAAAGTATGCCTATCATCTTGATACGTATTTCTGAGTAAAGGTATCATTCATGGCCCATGTACTTCCCAACTGCATATATTCCTTGATTTGCTAACAAATCAAACTGTTCACTTAGCAGTCAGATTACTGAACCCCTTATTTTTCTTTTGGTAAGTAGATTTGGTGCACTTTTGTACACATGGAAGAATAATTCAACAAACGAATCAACAATCATTCAACAAATCTGAATATCCACTCTGCCATTTGTATTAGATGTTGACCAACTGCATGTAAAACAGCCTGCTGGATCTCAGTGATTTCCACAAGGCTACAGTTCTTCAGAGCTCAGTTTAGAGTTCAGATTTTGAAAGGAAAGAAACAGCACCATTGCTCACACCATGTTGCGTGTGCTACATTTGTGATATTACAGCTTAAGCATTTTTTAGCAAATGTAGACAAAGATATAACTCAAGTAACTGCAAAACATAAACTATCATGTTAAAATATTTCACTAAGTTGATCCACAAAAAGCTAGAAGAAATTAAGGGATAACTGGTCATATGCTAGTTGTTACTACTGTTTTATGAGCTGTTCAGATTTAAAATCACCTTTTTGCTTTTAGAATGTGCCTGCATCCATGGGAAATGCAACAGTGGTATTAAAGGAGACGGCACCTGTGAATGTGATGTGGGTTGGAGAGGTGTCAAATGTGACAGCGGTAAGTGTGACTGCTGCATCCTATTGCAGAGTTAAAAGTAGTAAATGGTGTCATCAGCAGCTCTGGGCAGGCCTTCTCTCTTTCAAAGAGAGTTCATTCTCTGAACACTATGCAGGACCCAGCCACATGTGCTCAACAAAATAAAGGCAAGAAAGGGGAGAATATCAGTCTTAGACTGTAGAATATTGACTAACAAAAATACTTTTTCTCTTCCCCAGCAATCAGAGATGATAAGTGCAACAATACCTGCCACACCAGTGCCAAGTATGTATTGCATCAAACTAGCTAATAAGAATTAGACTGAATTCACAACATCCTATGCCTGACCCTGACCCTAACCCTAATATTTTCCCTAGGTATAAAATTTAATTTGAATTAATCTGAAGTAAGGGCCAGTTTGGTACAGTGGTTAAGGCATCAGGCTAGAAACTGGGAGACCATGAATTCTAGTCCTGCCTTAGGCATAAAGCCAGCTGGGTGACCTTGGGCCAGTCACTCTCACTCAGCCCTAGGAAGGAGGCAATGGCAAACCACTTCTGAAAAACCTTGCCAAGAAAACTGCAGGGACTAATCCAGGCAGTCACCAGGAGACAAAAACTGACTCAAAGGCACCAAAAAAAAAAAAAAGTGGGGGGGAGTGGGAGAAAAGCTCTCGTGACAATACTTGCTAGGTTGGGGGGGGGCAGAGTTTCATTGTAAGTAATTGAAATAATAATATTGTTTGGATACTATTAGCTCCTGTGGACTGAGCAAAACTGATATGGTGGTTAGCATAGCTTATAGGTGTCAAAGTAGCAACATAGCTAGCATTCTGTTAAATAGGAAACATCCAGTCACTGCTTGCCTTAGCTGTTTACAAATTTTCTCTTATTGTAAAGTACATGATTTGTTTGGCTATTGTCTTGAGCGTTCATTTCATGGGTCTGGTAATGAGCTATGCAGCCTTCTGCAAATTGCTTCCCTACAACTCCAATAATCCACCAGTTTCTGGCATCTGTAGTTTGCTAGGCAGTAGGAGGTCGCAATAAGTTTTATATAATTTTATTAAAGTTTTTTTTTAATGAAGATTAAAAGCTAATACAAACTAATATTAAGTAAGAAAAAAGAAAGAAAAAGAAATCAGAGAGAAAGCTAAAAGTGCAAGAAAGGAAAAAGGATACAAAGTAGCTTCTGATCTTTACAGCCGCTATAAGTGCAATTATAAATTTACCTCTTACTCTATGGTTACAACATAACTCTCTTCTTTCTATAATCTGTCATGTCTAATCATCAAAACCAAATATCGTAAGTTCATTTTTTTTTCTGTTTTACTCAAAAATCCTTAAGGGGGAGGTTGCAGTTAGTGATCAAGAAGTCTAACTTTTATAATCTTTTGAAACACTGATTTTAAAAAAAGAAGCATCTATATTATTTGAAATAATAGTTTCTGCATTATCTTGCCTGTTTAAGAAGAATATATAAAAATTAAAATAAGATCTTGAATTGCAGATTATGTAGGAATGATTGTAAATGGGCTGAAGACTTTCTTTAGCCAGGTGCTTCTCAACTATGTTGGACAACAGCTTCCCTATTTCCTGACTACAGGCCATGCTGTTTGAGGTTGATGGGAAATGTAGCCCAAACCATATGGAAATCATTAGACACCCAGTCATTGCTCTACAGTCCAAATGACTGAAGTGGCATAAAATCATCTATAATAAAACGAGTAACATAAATAACATCAGGGGAATATTTTCCTGTTGAGTATTGCAATTCCTCTCGGTTATTAAGCCAGTGGCTGCATTGTAGTAACGAGCTGGGTCAAAACCAGCATTAACTAAGGAAGACCCTCACCTCCACACACACCTCCCCCACACTTTTCTTTTGTTCTGAACATGTCCATAAGATATGCTAAATCTGTCTTGTTGGAGCATCCACTCTTCCTCTGGCTGGGTGTTTATTTCAGTTCCAACCAGTAATGACAGTTCTTCAGATTTGGAAAGGGCACTTTACAAGTAATCAAATATGGCAATGAGCCATGCGGGATGATGATGTATTAATGTTAACCAGACAGAGTAGTCAAATGGGTCATGTAAATTCTTTTTTTGTTTCCCTCTTCGCCTTCCCCTTTTCTTCCACCTCTCTGTGCCTCCTTTTTCTTCCCTTCCAGCAGGCTATCAGGCACAAGAGACTGACACTTGCAAATGGCTTTTGAAATTAGACCAACAGACGCATGTTGCTCATGCTGCAGACTGAATATGTACAGGGTATCAGAGAAATTTTTTAATCAAGAAAGCATTTTCCATTTGCAAATGTGATGCTTAATTAGATATACACTTCTTCTCTTTAGCATATGCAGTAGACTTTTATTATTGCCCCAGCCAGTGAAGTGAATTTATCTGATGCCAACTAACTTAGGTTTTCCAAGCATGCCATCCCTTTTTTATCAATTGCAAGTTGTAATCTGTCTTGATTTTCTATTTTAGCTGTTTTCTCAATCCTGTTGGTCCAGCATATTGCAAGTGTGCAGCTGGGTTTAGAGGGAACGGTACATATTGTACAGGTAAGTGGAATTTATTCTGTTTGAATGTGATCTAGGCCTGACACTCACAAAAAGCTGATGTAGCAGGAGGTGTAATTAATATATTATAATGAGGTACTTTAAAAACAGGATTAATTTCTGATCTTTTTTTAAAAAGCCAAGCTTTGAAAAATATTGATTTACTAACATTCAACCAAAGAAAACTTTGATAGCTAATAGATACTGGAGAATGTTTCTCTCTGACAATTAATTGTGAATCAATTAGAAGTCCAGCATGTGATCCGGAGAAAAGGGCAGGCAGGAAGCAGGCCATTTTTTAAATCAAATTCTGACAGTGTGGTCAGTAGCAGACCTTTCAGGACCCTGGACAGATCCCAAGAAGCAAGTACATTATCCAGTGAAACCTGAAACATTTTGATTCTTGCATTCCTTTCAGATTCTCTTTCACCAAACAAGAAAAAATAGAAAGATATTCTCTTGAGTTGAGTCAATTTTTGATTATGTTATCTTGGCAACATTGTATTTAGCCCTGGGATTCCAAGGTGGTCTCCCATCCAAGTACTGGCCAAGTTGAACCTACATATATTTTTTCAAGTATCAGCCTAGGTCAGCTAGATAATTCCATGTGCTAAAAAATTCAAAAGTGCAGAGCCTTAATGGGGTTTAGACTATAGAGATCTAGTAATGCTATGTGGAGCATGAAGCTCACGGAGGTAAACATATTGTCCCTTGCTAGATATAAACTGAGGGGCTGCAGCCTTTGGACTTGGGATGGTTTCTTTCATATCTCAGGTTCGAGTTTGGCGCTCAAGCCCCAGGCCTTTTTCTTCACTACCTTTGCCTTCTCAGCCTGTATATCTATATCACTGCAGGACACTAATAATACAGTGAGGAAACCTGATGGTGGGTCTTCTCTTCTTGTCACAAAGACTGAAGTACATCACATAAAAGAAAGTGGTATTTCATGGTAGAATTGTTGGTCTGGAAAAAATTCTAATGGGTTTTAAATATATTTGGTAACAAAATGAAATCACTGGATGCCAGGCATATCCAAAATAAGCACAGGAATTATGTTCTGCTCTATTCTCTCTACCGTGAACAAGCACCTATGGGATATCTGCAACATGATTGGAAAAAGTATAACCTCGTGGGTCTTTTTTCCTTAGTTTTTGTAATATCTGTGGTTTTTGCAAATATGCAAGTAGAGCATCAGTAGAGAAAACAACAGGCACTCTTACAGAATAGCCAATCCTACATCATATTTCCTGAGAGGGAGATCCCTGCCTGTAGCTAATTCATCATGCTCAGACTTGCCTCTTAAAAATCTCCTATTTCTTCATACACACCTTAAACCAACCCGCTTGCCCACTCAGAGGGATCACCTCTCACACCTCTCATAAACTTGTCCTTTGAGAAATCTCCTGTCAGTTTTCCTATAAAGATAACATTCCACAATTTCTGGGACATCCTGATTGGCAAAGAAATGGTCAGCCAGTCTGCAGCAACACGTATTTTAGGTATACACATAAGGAATAAAATAAGTTCATGTTCACATTTATAGAACACAGATACAGCATTCTGGCTACACAGACATTTTTCTATAAATTCAAATTTGACCTAACCCTATTTCTGCATGCTTTTCCAGCTATTAATGCGTGTGAGAACAACAATGGAGGTTGCTCTGCCAGAGCAGAATGCAGACGTACCACTCCAGGAAACCGAGTGTGTGTTTGCAGAACAGGCTACTCTGGCGATGGAATTGCCTGCTTTGGTAAGGGCTTGTTGTATATCTACCGCATCCTGCATATTTCCATGACATGAAATTGCTCCTGCCGGTTAACATGACAATGTCTGCCATTTCCTCTCTTCCTTCGCATTTAATCACAATTAGCACCTCCTCTGTAATTAAGCCTTTCATTTTAGTTAGCGCTAACTGATGTTAAAACCTGTAAGTTAAAGAGACAGCGCACACATTCATGTTAATCAGTTGGAGTCATATAAGATGCCGTGCAAAGTCACTTTTTATCAGTAAATATGTTATGCAATGTGTGTATTGCATATGTTTGCTTCAATAGACACATATACATATGCACATACATCCATACTCTTCATGAGGCAGCTGACAAGCTAACAACACAGTGGAGCATCTTTTCCTGACTTCATATCCCTTAGAGGTGTTAGGATGGTAGCTTTCAGAATTCCAAGCCAGATCTAAGAGCTGAAGCACTAATTTGGCTGGGAAAAGCTGCGGTGGGAGGAACAAATTTTTGGAAGGTTTTTTTTTGAGGGGGGGTGCCTTCAAGTCACTGTTGACTCCTGGCAACTGCCTGGACTAGTCCCTGCAGCTTCCTTGGCAAGATTTCAGAAATGGTTTGCCATTGCCTGCTTCCTAGGGCTGAGAGAGAGAGTGACTGGCCCAAGGTCACCCAGCTGGCTTTGTGCCCATGGCAGAAGTAGAACTCACGGTCTCTCATTTTCGAGCCTGGTGCCTTAACCGCTACATCAAACTGGCTCTCAAAGAGAATATTATCCATTGCTAATATTGTTGTGCTGTTTTGGTCTGGTTTATGAGATTATTTGCACATTCAGAAAGCGCAAGTGTTACAGGTCAAACCATTTCTCTATTTACATAGATTGTACCAAAGTGCTCTCATGCAAGTGAAAAACTTATGACTATGGAAAGCTTACACATCAGAGAATACCTCAGGAAAATATGTAGTAACTCCATTACAAATACTGCATTTTATTCTGCACTAAGAAGGATTTTCTTAAGGAGTTATCATTAGTAAAAAGCAGAAATAATTACAATAAAGCAGCACTCATTTAATCTGAGTTTCAAGAAAGTTAAAATATTAAATGGTTCCCCCCCCCTTTTTTTTTTTTGTTTGGTCTCCTAAAGAAATCAACCCCTGCTTGGAGAAGAATGGAGGATGTGATAAAAATGCAGAATGCACTCACACTGGCCCCAACAAGGTAAACGGTATTCCCATCTTATATTAATTGTGCATTACATTGCCTGTAGTAATAGTGGCAAATCACAGGCTACAGTTTGACAATATAATTACATGCAGCTGCTCTCAACTGAGTTGAGACACACTTGTCCATTGTGCCTGGTGCTCTTACTTCTGATTGACAGTGGTTCTTTGGTATTTAAAGCCGAAACCTTATCTGCTTCCTGGGATCTGAGATCTTTTCTAACTGGAAATGCCAGGAACTGAGCCCTGGATCATATTCATCCAAAGAAATATGATAAATATGATGTTTAAAAAAATATGGTTTCTGCTGAACTAGGTGGCCTACACAAGGACATAACTAGGAGGTCAGATATCATCTAACTATTTGGAGCCCTGAATGATTTGACAGGTGGGGAGAAAACCTGAAAACAGAAGCACAGAGACTTGAGGCATAAAGAGAACCAAGCAGGACAGAGTGATCACTAGAACTGACATGGATGGGGGAATAACATGCTATCCTCACCTATATCTTAACCTGGATTGTTTCCTTATTCTGACAGGCAGCGTGTAACTGTTTAAATGGCTATTCTGGAGATGGGAAAATATGCACATACATCAGTCCTTGTACATTGGTGAGTCCAGACTTTGACTGGCACTGTCCTTCATATATGTCCTTTACTTCTCAGGCAACAACCTCTATTACAAGTCAAGAGCTGGCAGCTTTTTTTAACCACCATTACATTGGCTGCATTCACTGATATATGAGCAGTAAGGAGATGTAAGAAAAGCCACTGAGTTTGCTCTAGCCTCCAGCTAAGATTCACTAGGATAAGGCCAGGAATTTGATTCTGGTAGTGATGATAAGAAGCTAATGCAACTGAAATTAGCTATCTTTCTGTCTTTCTGTGTAAAAAAAAAAATCATCCAACAATTTTACTTTTTAGAGTGCTACTACCATGCCAAACATTTTCATTTTTATTCCTCCCCCCATTGTGCTTCTCTTAAGCAAAGCAATGCCACAGGGGGGCACACTACACATTGGAGAAACTTCCAGCAGAAATGTTCCAGTCTAATGTCCCTCCTACAAGATGCTTTGTTGTGCTTTTCCCCAGTGCTTTTCTCAGACCTGTATTCCTGTAGCCTCCCTGTTTGCTTGAAGGCGATGGGATCTGCAAAGAGTTTCCAGGAAGAATCCAACCCTTGCGCTCTCCCCGTCCGCCCCTTTGCATCCTTCATTTTGCACAGAAGAACAAACAGGGACAATAAGACTTTCATAATTGCTAATCACAATGACTAACTATTCCTTCCAGTTTGGAAATAGTAGGGGTGCCACTGAAAAATATAAACAAGAGCATTCCTGTCCTTTTTCCAGGTTTCCAACAGAGGTGTCCACAGGATGTGGTCACAAAATCAAGATGGCAGCCACAATGGTGCAATCAAAGTTCTACTTGTTTCTTATATGTGTTGCATGTGCAACACACGTAAAAAATGAGTGGAGCTTTGATCATACCATTCTGGTGGCCAGCTTGTCTTTCCATACCCTGGAGATACTCCTGCTTCTCCAAGTCTCTGGCTGGTCCTGAGTGTTTCTTACCCTCAGTGCTAGATAAGAGTGCTTTACTTTTTCTACCTGAAAAGCAAATTGGAGCACCTGCCCATGCATAAACATGCTTTCAAGTGGCAAGCTGGCACTCTTACCCACAATTCAACATCTTTGCTTTATTTTTTTTCTTCCTGCCATTTATATGCCTCTATTCATTGCTGGTCTTTGCATGCATGAGCAACAAAAGTACAAAGAATAGACAGAGCCAATGTATTTATAAGAGTTCTTTTCAAACAGCTCTGTATAGGCATAATCTAAGACTGGTGGGTCTTTTTTCCCTGATTTGAGGGTTCAACTGCTTTATTTTTGAATCCCAAACTGCAAGGATCCCCTAATGGTAATCAAAAGTGGGAAAGAACTTGTTTCCCCCATTTTTATTATTTTTTTATCATTTCTTTTGTATGGTCTTCATTTTGCCAATTTCTTTGACAACCAGAATCTTATTCAAAAGTGTAAATTATGACATTATTTTAAAACTCTTCCTGTATACCTGTCATGCTTCATGCAACTTGTTAGGGTTAGCATCACAGAAAGCTTTAAGGAAATAAGTTCTCTTTTTCCCATAGCCCATATAGATCTCCCAGTAAAAATGCACTCAGATCTACTGTATACCTTGATACAATGATATGAAGGTTCTGATCTCAGAAATATTATTTTTCTGCTTGCAGTTCATATTGGATACCTCAAGAGCATTCTTTTTTTTCTTCTTAAATTTGGCAGCCAGGTTCTACAAAAGATAAAGAAATACAATGTAGAGTCATGGAAATATTCCAGAATGTAGAAGTAACAATTTCCTGTAAGGATGGCTATTCAAACTGGTTTCAAACTGACTATCTTGGTGTAGGTGGGGGTGAAGGAAAGGCTAACAAAGACGTGTGTGGAACTTTAAGTAGGGGTAGCATTTGCATGGCAGCATCAGCACATGCCTGTCATCATTTTGGCATCAACATGTTTGCTGTAGATCCCACTGTTGACAATTTTATCATTGTGCATTGCTTTGTCTTGCCTTGAAAGACTTTCCCAGACAATTAGGATCAAATAATTTACATACAATTACAATATGCACTTTGCATCCCAGATGTGTTTCAGGGGATTATTCTGTTTCAAAAGTATTGCATTTGCCCAGTATTCCTGGCCAATTGATATTCAAATAACTGTTTAAAAAAGTCTCTCTTAGCGCTTCTCCGTGCTTGCTCACTCATCTTCTAGCCCCATGGCAAGTCTTCTTGCAGTACCAGAGAGGAACCGAGAAAACCAGCAGAGTTGTCGTTTTCATCCCTTCTTCATTACTAATAAAATATTAATTTCTGCATCTATGAGAGAGTAACATGCCGTTCAAACAGTGGAATCTTAAATCAGTTTCATTTTGGCTGGCAGCTTTTCCCCTTGGCTTACCCATTGAGACTTGTACTGAAATTCATTGAGACAAAGTGTATTTCAGCTGAAGTTGCTTGCTTCCCTCTTATCAGAATAACGGTGGATGTGGAGAAAATGCCATTTGCAATGATACTTTGCAGTCAGAAAGGACCTGCACCTGTAAACCCAACTACATTGGAGATGGGTTTACTTGCAGAGGCAGCATCTTCATGGTGAGATGTCTTTCTTATTGAATATGTGTGATCAATGTTTGTGCTCAGTAGCAACAGGCCAAATTACATCAGAGTATGGCCTCTGTATGGACAACAGCTACAAAGGCCTGAATATAGCAACAGATACCACAGGAAAACACATTAGCAACTGATCAGGTGCAATTATACCCCTGGGGGGCACCTAAGTCTGGACCTTGGAGCCCAAATCTAGAGCTCCAGGGATCATCTAAATGAGAAATGTGGAGGACAGTTGCAAGTTGGCCTAGTATCGGTCTGTAGGGACAAGAGGAAACCACTGTTGCTAGTATTTATTTGTTTGTTTGTTTTCAAAAATATTTTGTAGCCAAAGGACAGGAGGCTGCGCATGTCTTAAATTTTTACTGTCCCTTTCTAATGCAAATAGTTCCACCCCCATGTTTAAGAAACAGTAAAAGCATTTGATTTCAATATTCTTGAATAGTGAAATTGCATACACCCAGGGATGGAAATCAGTTTGGTTCAAGTAAAAGTTATAAAGCACGTAATACAGTGATGGGAAGGGAGAATGGTAATGTTGGCTAAGTACGTCACGACCCAGCACAACAGAGCCATCTAAAAGGCTTTCCTATAAAACCATTATATCCATAGCCTAGCATTTTCTAGCAGGGTCACTGTGACACTTAGCAGCACCACATACACAACAAGCCTTAGGACAGCTTGATCCATACAGAGACCTGTAAAGATGGCAAAACATCCATTTCTAGCACAGAACATAACTCAGATCTAGCTGTTTCTTACTAAGCTATAGAAATTATTTCTGCAATAGTTTCATATACTTACATTTTTGGTGTTACAGGGCACCATTTTATTATTTTAATATTTTTGATGTTATTATTATTACAGGAACTTTCAAAGAATTTCAATACTACTCGGTTTAATGGGCAGCTAATGGTAAGAAAGTTACAGGATGTCTCTTCCCAGTGTCTTGATTTTTAAAGCATTTTTAAGACAGATTTTTTTTCCAGATTCAGTAGCTTTCTGGGGGATATAAAAGTGCCTGAAATAAATATTGGCTGACATGTGCATTTTGCTTTCCATTATTCTAGGATGCTGGGATCAGAGATATCTCAGGAGCAGGGCCTTTCACTGTTTTTGTACCAACCAATGAAGCCATTCTTGCTGAATTAAAAGTAAGTACACAAAAGCCTTCGGATGATAGATGGGACATTCTTAAGGACTCACTGCCTACCCAAACAGCAAATAATTCCAGAGAATGGGCTGTTGTTGTTATTGCTGTTCAGTTGTTAAGTCATGTCCAGCTCTTCGTGACCCCATGAACCATATCGCGCCAGGCCTTCCTGTCCTTCACTGCCTCCCTG